ATTCGGAAAAAACCAAAATTTTGTAAAATCGTTTTTATTTTTTCCCGGGCTTATTTGAAAATAAATTTTAAAATAAATGGCCCTTCGTCATTATCACTTTTTCTCCTTTAGAAGATGGTGCTACTAAATTTAAAATTCGACGTTTCGTCTTCAGGCGGCCATCCTCAACTTCCTTTTTTTAAATACGGACCTGGATTTTTTATATGCGATTTTGTCATCTTTGCGCATCCTAAAACCGATACTGTTTATAATTTTTCAATAACACAGCAAATTAAGCAGGTCCGTAATTAAAAAAAAAATTAATGATGATTTCAGAGGAACGAAACATTGAATTTTAAATTTAATACCGCCATCTTGTAGAGAAGAAAAAGTGACAATGGCAAGGTGAAATTAGTTTTCCACAATCTTTTTAAATAAAATCAGGAAAAAATTAAAACTATACGGAAAAAATTTGAAATCCGACGTTTTTCAAATACGGACCTGCTTTTTTACCGTGTTATTGAAAAATTATAAACAGTATCGGTTTTAGGATGCCCAAAGATGACAAAATCGCAAATAAAAAATCTAGGTTCGTATTTAAAAAAACGTAAGTTAAGGATGGCCGCCTGAAGACGAAACGTCGAATTTCAAATTTAGTACCACCATCTTCTAGAGGGGAAGAAGTGACAATGATGAAGTGACATTTATTTTAAAATTGCTTTTCAAATAAGCCCAGAAAAAAAAACGATTTTTCAATATTTTGGTTTTTTCCGAATATCTCCGGAAGTATTCGGAATCTTTCTAGTTTCAAAACGGTATTCTATTGGTCATAAAATTGCGCAACTTTGCCATAATTTAACCGACCCCGTATCTCTTACGGTTACCGAGATCCCAATGATGAGGCTCAAATTTGGGCCACCCTGTATATCTGGAAAACGAAGCATTTCCGGAGACATGTTTATCAAGAAAAAAGTTTTATTTTTACGAGATCTACCATCCCTAGAAGTTTGTAACAAACCTTTCGTGACACCCTGTATAACATACTAAAATTTGGTTAAATTTGACTGCGGTCAGAAATCCCATAAGTGTGCAGGATCCTTTTTTTCTATTTTCAATAGTAAAGGCTATAGAGTATGGGCTTACATATAATCAAAGACCCTGTACCTATTGGTTGTTAATTTTTTCATATTGTTATTCTGGGTTTTCTGAAAATAAATTAATAATTGAAAGTAGCAGGTTTGGGGTTTCAAAAAGCATCAAGTCCGAAGGTAAGACCAATTTATACATAAAATATTTAAATGTTATACCTAGAATTATTAAAAAGGACGAAAAAAACTAAACTTGTCTGTGGTGGTTGAAGTATCATTTTGGTCTAGTAACTTGAGTTCAGTGGTTAATAAAATAGACGAATGGAAAGCAAGAGTTTCAACAGCAAATCCTACTTTTATAATGCTGACAGAAACATGGCTACAAGACAACATTAGTGGCAGTTTAGTTAACATAGATGGATACAATACATACCGTGAAGACCGACAAAATCAAAAAGGGGGTGGTGTATGTATTCTAGCAAAAGATAAAATTAATGGGTGCGTGTGAAATAAATTGCAGTATCTCCAATAGCTACAAATTTCAAGCACCAATTGATGCAATATGGCCTCGAATATGGCTTGATATGTCTCTAGCTTGCATATATAGACCAGGAAGAACTACCAACGAAGAGGCCAACACTCACATGATAGATACCATAAAAAAAGCACACACCTTTAAAAATCCAACAATTATTGTAGGAGACTTCAACTACCCAAACATCAACTGGGAAAACCTCTCAATTGCAATACCAGACAAAAAAGCACAAGATTTTATGAACATGTATCAAGAAATAGGCGCCCAGCAATTAATTGATTTCCCAACAAGATACAGAAACGACCAAAGTTCTCTTTTAGATCTCTTCTTAACCAATGATCCCAAAAGCATTTTCGATCTTTGCTCAGAAGCGCCCATTGGATGCAGTGACCATGTTGTAATAAACGCAAAAACACAACTAAAAATTCCACCCAAACAAACACAAAAAATTGTAAGAAAGAATTTCTACACTGCAAACTATGAAGATATCAACAACTTTATCCGACTACAACCAGTAATGAGAAACCCTCGGAGAAACCTTTCTTTGAAAACTTTCAAAACATACTGGATGGTGCGATTGATAAGTACATTCCTGACAAACCCGTGAAAACAAATTCACAAAAACCATGGATAAATGAAAATATTTTTAAAGAAATAAGCAAAAAACGTAAACTATGGAATAAATATAAAATGAAAAAAACAGTGGATAACTAGCAAGCCTATATGGGCCAAAATAATATCACCAAACAAAAGTTAGTCGAGGCCAGGAAAAAATATGAAAATGGTCTTGTGAAATCGACTTCGCAAAAAAAGCTATTCAAATGTAAATCGCAACTCGAAAGTCTCAACCATAACTTTGAAAGATCCAACATCCCAACAGTTTCTGGATAGCAAATTCATGGCAGAAAAATTTGCAGATCAGTTTGATACAGCCCTTACAAACGAAAAATACCCAACTCCACCATTGCCTGACCATAGCAGGGTACAAAACTCAATTGAAATATTAATTTTACAACGGAAAAAATCGAAGAAGCTCTCAAAAATATGAAAAGAGACTCAAGCCCAGGGCCCGATAGGATTCCCACTGTTTTCCTTCAGAATTGTGCCAATTCAGTCAGTCCTTTACTTTCAGGGGTGATGCAAGAATGTTTAGCTTTTATTAGCCAAACTGGAGGAATTTGGAGTCAGAAGAAAGCTACTCAATCTGATTAAGGCACTATTAAATGACCGACATTGTCAAGTCATAGTTAATGGGAAGCTTTCCAGTCCACATAAAGTGAGTAGTGGCATTGTTCAGGGTTCGGTTGTTGGCCCAGTGCTTTTTACAGCATACCTTTTTGATCTGACTGAATGTGTAAAAATGGCCACTTAGCTGTTTGCAGATGATTGCAAAATATATGCATACATGGAGAATATTGTAATATGGTCAAAACAATGGGGTATGAAACTAAACACCTTCAAATGCACAGTGCTTGGGATCGGCCCGAATAATCCTAATTATGAATATTATCTCGACAAAAGTGCCTTGAAATCAGTAATTACGCAAAACGATCTAGGAGTTCTAATAACAACAGACTTAAAGTGGGAAAGCCACATAACCAAAATTTGAAAAAAAGGAAGTTCATTTGTTTTCTTGATAAAACAGGCTTTCAAAGATCACTCTATTGAAATGATATCCAAGCTCTACAAAAGTTACATAAGACCAAAAATTGACTATGCTTTTACAGTATAGAACCCATATTCTATCAAAGATATAGAACTTCTGGAGAAAATACAACGTAGAGTAACAAAAATCCCTAGCGAATTAAAGGATGTACCATATCCAGAAAGACTTACCAAGCTTAGTTTGACCACAGTCAGAGAACGAAGGCATAGAGGCGATTTAATCGACACTTATAAGATCACTGGCGGCTATTACCAGTGTCATGTGACAGATCTTTTCCACCAGAGTCATAACAATCACCTCCGAGGACACACTAAGAAACTTGAAAAAGAAAGGTCGGCAAAACTTCCCAGAAAAAAACTTTATTGTGAACCGTGTGGTGCACTCTTGGAACTCGTTGCATCAGGAAACTGTTTCAGCCCTGAACACAAATAGCTTTAAAAATCGCATTGATGTAGAGGTGAAACAGAATTCAGAAAGGATGATCCACTGCAGTGTGTAAACAAATTCAATATAACCTGAAAATCTAAAGAAGAAACAATAGCTTCATCGGTTGTACCGCCTGCTATTGTCAACATAATAATAATAAATATAAAAATCAAGTATAGTAAATAGGAGTTTGTGAATTTCAAGTTATATGCATCAATAATTGATTATGAATGCCAAATAGTTCTGCCGTTTCAACCATCAAGCAGCAAAGTTTTTGAGAAATTAATTTAATATTATGTAAATTAGCTTCAAAATTAAATACCTAAATAATAAATTCTTCGTAACCATTGCAAACAATATTGCGTATTTTGTGGCAAAATCGACGTTTTATGGCACATGCAAGTACATTATGCCTCGACCTCGAGTGTTCGCCAAAAAATTGTCAAGTGTAAATAAATCCTTTTTGCACACTTAATTCGAAAATAACTATTTACTTCGAAAACGCGTTAAAGCGAATGTATTGATGAAGATTGGAAAAAATTTAAAAAAATAGAATTTTTTGAGTCAGTCAAGTTTCAAACCTCCAAAAAGAAAAGAATCAATCTCAAACAAATACTCAAACAGGACAGGAGGCTGCCTTTGAATTTTTAAGTAGGTAGGTATCATTAAACTCAATTCCGAAATTGGGTTTATTCTTGAGCAGTTTTGATGAAAACAAATTTGTTGTCGTTTTTAAAATGCTTAGCACCAGCATATAAAATTTCTCTCGCCAACCCTAGTTTAATGTCTTTCTGGGTTTCAGGTTTCAGAAATTTATGGCATATTAAATTCTAAATAAATTCACAATCTTCTATTTACATTTGAATTTTCTCGAACTGCAAAATTCAGTCAAGCACTGGAGTAGGTCCTAATAACGATACCCAGGCGCTCCACTAGTTTGCTGTGGCAATAGGTTGGAGTCTCGCGCCGTGTTTGTTCAGTTCATTTTGAGACATCGCCGATAAAGCACTCGCGGCTTAGCGTGTTGAAAATTGCGTCCTGCGTTTGCGACTGTTTCTTGACTGATTCACCTTGGTGGAAAGCCAAGAGGCACCCTATTTCTATCGATTATCCCTACACTTTTCCATCAAGATTTTTGAATGATAGTTCTTCAAACTGTATGAAGGTAAGGCCTGATTATCTAAAATAATTTAATAAAAAAATAACTGCCCAAGTGCTGTAACTCAATTACTTGAACTCTATTAGGTATATTGAAATAAACCTTTTATAAAAATTTACAATGAACTATGTAACATATTTTGGTATTTCAACGTTGTTGAACAGCTTGGGCTGGGGGCCAACGCCATTGGCTGGGTGGAGGCTGGTTTACAAGAGGCTCCCAGGGCTTCCAAGTTAACATTTTTCTAGACAATACCAGTTCATTTTCAGCTTGAACAATTACCTCTTCAATTTGTCCACAATTGATTTTTTTCTCAACTTCTTCCACTGCAGGTGTGGTGGTCAAGATTTCTGAGCGTTCTTTGATTATGGCTTCGGTGTGTTTTCTGTAGGCTGCATGTTCGGGCATTTTTTGGAGTGTCCTCAAAATTTTTCCATAGAGGGTTCCAAGGGCTTTGTGTGGGTTAGTGGCTACAGCTAAACCAGTAAGGCCGGTAGCTCTTTTAACTGCCCCAGACATGATTTTTTATCAATTAAGTAACAATTTATGTAATGAATTTTGTTTTTGTTCTTTTTTTTTGTAATTGGTGGTAAAGGAATAATCAATAGACAAACGTCAACTGTCAAAGTTGTCTTACAAAAATTAAATTAGCGAATTCCATTGGCAAACAAAGTGTAGCACTTTATAGCACCAAAACTCGTCCCGTATAGAAGCTCTGGCGCAATCTCGGAGTGTAAATTTGTTCTTGGAGTGGAGCCGAATCTATTGTTGAAAAATGTACAGTTATTTTTGTTTTATTGATATTCGTATTCTTCTAATTTACATTCGTGTTGCTGTTATACATAAAATAAAAGCCTAAGAGTTGATATAGCTTTGTTTTGGTTTAGAAAAAAAGGACGGTTCTAGAACGTTCATAACAATCGCTCAGTTTATCTACTACAAATTGACAACGACTCTGCTATTAAAAATTCCAACAATAAACTGTTCAATTGTTTTGGACCGCTCTAGAACCGTCCTATCACACGAAAACAAGGCTAAAATTATAATATGGTAATGAAAACAGCCCAAATGTCAAATCAATAAATTTAAAAATAAATGCACTATTTCCGAACGATCTCCCAGATGTGCGGAACTAATTGCACTCGGAGCAGTACGTGCTGCACCTGTTTGCTAAAAGGATCCAGAAAGCAATAAAACAATGGCAAATTCGTTCCAGGTACTTGTAGTTTAATAGCTCACTGAAAATTATTTACCGTAGCCAATGGTATCCGCTATAATTGTTTGTTACTCGCATTAAATATATGATAAGTTCAGTAACGAAGAAATGCAAGGAAACAAGTATTATTTACACACATACCGAAACTAACCAGAAAAAAAAAATGATTATTATACTTTGATTTGACCAAAATACTTTCCTAATCGGCTTTAGTTAATAATGATTTATTCGTAATCACGATTGAATCAAGCAGTGTATTTCCAAATTTAATCGTGATAAAGCAAAGAAAAAAGATGGTGCAATAAAAATGATAATATATTCATGATTAAATAATATTCCTGGTTAAAAAGATTTGGTGCATATACGGGCATTAAATTTTTTTTTATTTGGCTTTATCAATGCTCTATTTTAGGATTTTACTAGCGATTTTCATGGGCATTAAAAATATTTATTTGGCCATTAAAATGAAGGGTGACCTTCAGACCGGTGCTCGTGTGGAACTGATGCTGCCAGTCGCCCTCACTTCTCAATAGGAATAGAATCGTAAAAGCTGCACTAAAATGACCGGAGTTTAAAAAAAATTTAATTCGTGTCGCACCGTCTCTGCCAACGGATTTCGCTATTTATTAGAACCTGCACCAGCGCCGAATTGATTGCAGCGCCTTCTCCGCGTTCCCACTGAAGCTTTAAACCGGAAACAGGCTGCGTGATTAACAAAAGGAGGTTTCCATGGCTAGTTTCCTTTGTTTTGTAAAATGGCTGCCATATTTAGTTTAGTAGATGTCTGTTAAGTCTGTTTATAAATTTGGCTTACGAATTGTGCTGAAAATTCGTTTAATTTTCTAGTTTTTTGATCAAATCCGTGTGAAATTGTTTGTGAAATGTGAAAAGATCGATTGTAACTTTAGAATTGTTCTTGCGTTATCGGTTTTGCTTTAAAATGATTCTGTTTACATCGGTTTGGAATAAGTTTGATATTGTTCACATTTTAAGGTAAGTTTCAAGCATTTTTCAGTATATTTACGATCAATAATGCATGAAATATATTAATAAATTGGAAACCCTCGAAGAAATTCAGAAATTTGCCTTATTATTTTGCCATTTTGCCTTCAGAATGATGGGGTTGTGTTGACCTATGCTTTGGCTCACTGTTTCATTAAAGTTTGTTGATCTTGTTACCTCTTTATTATTATTTTGTAATCTGTACGAGTTTTTGGTAGTTTGAGGTAAAATGTCAAAGCCTGGTATTAATTACTAGCAAAAAAGGTTCTATTGTCATTAACAACAATAGATACAATCTCCATATTTGTGCGAAAACTTTATAATAAAACATTTTCTATTTGTAATCGTTTCAAAACTTTGGAGTGCAAAAACCTGAAAACTATTTGTCTTATCTTTTATTTTGATTAGGTAATAATGTGATAATTTCCCTACCCACCGAATTATTTTGACAGAATTGAGTGGAGTATGTTTAGAAAAATGCTGTTCAATTAAACTTCTCTTGGGGGATATTTGTGCAACACAGGCATATTTTTAGAACGATGGCAGGCAGTAGTAAATTATTTTATTGTTTAGCTGCACTAAAAAAATCAGATAGTAATCATAATATAAAATTATCTTCAATTCACGCTAGTGGATCGGAGGTCAAATGTTAATTTGTGTTGTATGTTTATTGGAGCTCATTACCAATTTATATTAAGCGGAATAAATAATTCTGGGGCCATAAAAATGGCGGATTTTTAGCTTTCAAAACAATATAATGTGGCTCCCTGCAACAAGGATGATGTTTGCACGCCCACCTTTTCCTTTTGCAGAAACAAACAATAATCGATTTGTTATTTGTTGCCTTTTTATGCAGCAGCAAAATAGCTCTAGATGATGGGATGCATTGCAGCTGTATTTCATGTTGCCAGATCCTTTTTTTCATTTGTACGAAATCGCGTTTGGCTGTACTAGTCTGCACGATTGTATCCTAGAATCCCTAAATGTATGGTTTAAAATTGTCTTTAAACTTTTAGTTTATTCCCTCTCAAAAATGCTTGGACCAGTTTCATATATTTATATTGACAAATCAACAAAATTGTACTACATTCATCAACAACATAGTGCAATGGCAACACTGTAAAACGCCTGCTTTCTTGTTTTTTTTTTTCAACCATTCTCCTTTCCTTTCTGGGTTCTCTCGCCAGGATTGGCGCAATCGCGTTCTATTGCGCAAACCGCGCAAGCGCTGCCTTCAACCTCCGAATTTTAATGGCCTGGAACTGGAATTTGCAGCCGCGCAAATGCGCAATATTTTTTCTTTGAAAATATTCGATCCGGCAATACCTTTATATGGCTTTGGCTTCTTGAAATTCTGGGACCAATTCCCAATATTTTATATCATATTTCCTTTATTATCATATTTCTAAAATGCGCTTTTTCCCCAGTGTTTTTCAGAATTTAAATTCAAAACGTACAAAAGTTCAAGGATAACATAAACGTTTCACCGCATTGACTGAAATAACAACACTTTTTTTTTTTTGGTTAGGTGTTTTAATTTCATCTCTTAACAGTTATATTGATTGGGATTTTTTGACTGGTCATAACTTCCGATTAAATTGAGTGTTATCAATGGTGTTGCAAATGTATATTTTATGATCAAATTCACTTAAGTAACCAAAAGATATAGCCCACAATTTGGGTGGTCTCCTTGGGCTTGTTTGTCCATTTATTGTTGAAGGAATTAGGTGAAATGCCACTTGTTTGTCACTCTTAAATAATTAAAAACAAACCTGCACAAAAATATGTCTCTATTCCACTTACTTGAAAGATGAAAAACATCTTCCTGGTAAGGCGATAATGGCCGCTTAATAGGATTTCTTTCTCTATAAATTTAATTTCGGTTGGACGCTTCACATCTTTTCTAAGGTTTCATATCTTCTTTTATCAAATGAATTTGAAAAAAGTATTCATCTACAACTGTCATGTACCTAATAGCTATAATTTGATACTGTTTCTGTAATGCCATTGGATTACAGCACTCTTTTTTTTTGAATCTAAAACGACACTATTGAAAATTGCATTGTTAATGAAATTAGACCTAAGTCACATAAACAAATAATGTTCGTACATAAGGTTAAAAAAATCATATATACATACAATATACATATGTATATGTCTCATTTTTACATAAATAACTATTCCAAACCTAAATAATACACAAAATTTGATAAGTTAAAACAATTCGCTTCCAGCTTTGAAAATTGCATAAACAGAAAATTAAATAACACCCACACAGTCCAGAAATATTTTTACTTGTGAAAGTAAGATTAAATAAAGCACTAAATTTTGAAAGATGATTCATGACAAGTCGCAATATGTTGTATTCTGATTTTAGCTTTTTTTCTAAATTTAAATCGCAGCTTTTATTATAAAAAATTACTTGATGTATTATAATAATTTTAATCTTTTGAACTCTAATTTTTCACTAATACCTAACACTCCCTAAGATTAAAATCTTCCAAATTAATTATACAGAGATCCTTGATGGGTGTAAATAGACATTTTTGTCTATTGAGTAGGGTCTCGATCCTAATAATTTTACCAAAAATATGTTCTCAATGTGAGTGTACATACTACATAGTTTTATCTACACCGGTGTGAAGTTAGCACGCCAAAGTGTAAAGTTAGAAACATGGTGTTTCACGTTCAAATTTGGAAGGATGCTTGTTCAAGGGAAGCTTTATCATCCCTCAAAAGGAAAATTTCTTGCCAGCCTTCAAACTTAAGAAAATCATCCCTTGTATGAAAAATATTGAAAATTTCATATTTTCTTATTTTTTCTTCAGACACCTAGATGGTGTTTCACGTTCAAATTTGAAGGGATGCTTGTTCAAGGGATGCCTCCTCATCCCTTAAAAGGAAAATTCCTTGCCAGCCGTCGAACTAAGAAAAATCGTCGCTTGTGTGAAAAAATATTGAAAATTTCATATTTTCTTATTTTTTCTTTAGACACCTAGATGGTGTTTCATGTTCATATTTGGAGGGATGCTTGTTCAAGGGATGCTTTATCATCCCTCAAAAGGAAAATTCCTTGCCAGCCGTCAAACTTACGAAAATCATCCCTTGCATGAAAAAATATTGAAAATTTCATATTTTCTTATTTTTTCTTTAGACACCTAGATTGTGTTTCACGTTCAAATTTAGAAGGATGCTTGTTCAAGGGATGCTTTATCATCCCTCAAAAGGAAAATTCCTTGTCAGCTGCCAAACTTAGGTAAATCATCCCTTGTATGAAAAAATATTGAAAATTTCATATTTTCTTATTTTTTATTCAGCCACCTAGGTGGTGTTTCACGTTCAAATTTGGAAGGATGCTTGTTCGAGGGATACTTTATCATCCCTCAAAAGGAAAATTCCTTGCCAGCCGTCAAACTTAGGTAAATCATCCCTTGCATGAAAAAATATTGAAAATTTCATATTTTCTTATTTTTTCTTCAGACACTTAGATGGTGTTTCACGTTCAAATTTGGAAGGATGCTTGTTCAAGGGATGCTTTATCATCCCTCAAAAGGAAAATTCCTTGCCAGCCGTCAAACTTAGGTAAATCATCCCTTGCATGAAAAAATATTGAAAATTTCATATTTTCTTATTTTTTCTTCAGGCGCCTAGATGGTGTTTCACGTTCCAATTTGGAAGGATGCTTGTTCAAGGGATGCTTTATCATCCTTCAAAAGGAAAATTCCTTGCCAGCCGTCAAACTTAGGAAAATCATCCCTTTTATGAAAAAATATTGAAAATTTCATATTTTCTTATTTTTCTTTAGACACCTAGATGGTGTTTCACGTCCAAATTTGGAAGAATGTTTGTTCAAGGGATGCTTTATCATTCCTCAAAAGGAAAAGTCCTTACCAGCCGTCAAACTTAGATAAATCATCCCTTGTATGAAAAAATATTGAAAATTTCATATTTTCTTATTTTTTCTTCAGACACCTAGATGGTTTTTTTTCACGTTCAAATTTGGAAGGATGCTTGTTGAAGGGATGATTTATCATCCCTCAAAAGGAAAATTCCTTGCCAGCCTTCGAACTTAGAAAAATCATCGCTTGTATGAAAAAATATTGAAAATTTCATATTTTCTTATTTTTTCTAGATGGTATTTCACGTTCAAATTTGGAAGGATGCTTGTTCAAGGGATGCTTTATCATCCCTCAAAAGGAAAATTTTTTGCCAGCCGTCGAACATTGTCTGAGGAAAAAATAAGACATTTTCAATATTTTTTCACACAAGCGACGATTTTTCTAAGTTTGACGGCTGGCAAGGAATTTTCCTTTTGAGGGATAATGAGGCATCCCTTGAACAAGCATCCCTCCAAATATGGACGGGAAACACCATCGTACATGAATGAACGAGAAAAAAATTGCAGCGTGCTAGAATGGCATGCCTGCCAACTTTACACTTTGACATGCCTGAGCGGCGTGCTAACGTTTTACACTTTGGCGTGCTCGAGCGGCGTGCTAACTTCACACCGGTTCTACATACGACATAGTTTTATCTACCAGGTTCAACCATATTTTCAGAAATATAATATATCGGGAGTTCAATAATAATTATTGAGTTGTAAGTCAAGGTCCTCTTTCTCTATGAATCTAGGTTCATATGGTTTGATGACAACTGTCAATAAATGTCATAACATTTTTGAATTTATTACTTAAAAAAAAAAATTATGTGAAATAGACAAAAAACATTGCAAATTTTTGCTAGATTTTTTGGCATACAATGGTATTTAAAAATACTGTGTGTATTCCCTCACAAATAAATGTACATAAATAACATAAATGAGGTCAGATAATGTAACTATGCACAACATAGAAAAAGGAAGGAAAACTACCTATGTGAGTCAATGAAGTTGTAGTTCAGAATATCAGAGCAAGAGAGATAATCTTAAATAATGTACCTAACAATACTGGGTGCCCACAAGATCACTTTCCGGCTGCCATTTTTTTATTTGTCCATCGATATCAACGAAACTTGCTAGGGTTGGTATTCTAACCAAACGCCATTTTAATGCATTGATGACAAGTTTTCTTGACTTCCAGTTTCACCGGAAATGACCGGAACTTTTGATTTTGGCACACCCTGTATATTTTTTGTTTTCCAGATTCTACAGATCGTTTTATGTCCTAATGCACCACTTTTGAATCGAGTTTTGTCCAAATTTTGTTTTTAAATTAAATTTTAATTTTTTAACTAGAGTGCCATGATCATCCTAAAATGACTACATACTTTACTTAATTTCAGAAAAATGCAAACTCAATTTTATCTTTGTAAACTTTTTTGATAGAGGGCTGTAAACTTCATTATTTTAATATTTTTGCTCTAGCTCAAAAACTGGAATAGAAACATATCACTTTCATAACATTACTAAATGCAGTATTTTGAAGCAAATTCAACGATATAATACACTACCTACAACATTTCTATTAATTTTCGTTGAAATATTTTTGTTTTATTATGTACGTAATTTATTTTTTTTCCTACTTAAAATTTAATTTGAAATCGAAATTTGGACAAAACTCGATTTAAAAGTGGTACGTTAGGATGTTAAAACGATTTGTAGAATCCAAAAAACAAAAAATATACTGGGTGTGCCATTTGAACATCAAAAGTTTCAGTAATTTCCGGTGAAACCGGAAGTTAGGAAAACTTGTCGTAGATGCACAAAAATGGCGTTTCGTTAGAATATCAAGCCTACCAAGTTTCGTTGATATCGATGAACAAATAAGAAAATGGTAGCCGGAAAGTAATCTCGTGGCCACCCGGTATACTTAGAATAAGTTCTGAAACGCAACAGATTATCTTTTATGTCATATTCAACTTTTTCTTTTGAGTCTATGTACTAAATAGTTTTCCAAGAGAATCTTTATTTTCTGGTACCTGATCACTCGCCTAGTTATCTCTCATTTTATTTTATTTTTTTAATTATCAAATAAACACAATAAACACCATGATGGCAATTTGCTTGAAATCGGAAATACAAATCGCTATACCAGCCTTCAATAATAGAAAATTAGATCATAGAAAAAAAATCATTAGTACCTATATTAACTAGGATTGGAATATGGATAGCTGCTTTTCCTTGACATACATCATCCTGCGTCAAAGAAATGCCGCAAGAAATAATGGGTGGAAACTGGATATTTCAATTTTGTTTTAACTGTTTCCTAATTTTTTTATTATTTGAATAAATGGAACCATGGATGTTTAAAGGTAGATTTTCTTATACAAACTGTGGCAGAAATAAATTCTATACTAATCCATAACCAAATGTTTGGTATTTTGTTTTGGGCCCAAGACACACTCTGGTATATCCCTACTAATTTCCTATATAAGTAATTTACCAATAATGTATTAAGTGTGTGCTAAATTACCCCAATGAAATGCCCTTGGCAAAAACTGACTAGTTGAATATTATGACATGCCTAGGTTTTTTTCAAAAATTATTATGCAATTTCAAATAATTTAACTAAAGGATTGGCAAATAATCCCATTACTAATAAAATTTTCAATAACGAATCAGTAACCTATTTTGAATGTATTAAACAATTAATTGATCTACCTACCTATAAAATGGCATAAGTACGGACCACCGGAGGGACCACCTTATTTGGTAGCTTTTATTGAGGCTTTAATAGTTTTTGAGAGAGAGCTCTTAAAATATACTTGGCTCTTATTCATTTAGTTGAATTAACAATAAAGCTTTTAACAATAGGTAATTATTATTGATTATATTTTGCATTTTCACTGGCTGTTTCTCTGAAAATAATAATAATTTATAGCCACATTTTAATGTATTATTGATGTTACTTTGTGTTTAAAATGTGCATGCAGCATGATGCATGATTGACCTACTGTAAAGCCTCTATTATCAGTACCAACCAAATTTTTTAAATATATTTTTTTACAGATATTATCGTTGACCTGGATCCCATAATAGAAGAAAAGGGTGGGGGTGGGGCATCCCCAAGCATCCTAGTAGATGCGGCTAAAGATGAAAATGTTAATTCATATTCTCCTAAAGACATGAGTGTTTGTGATGAAAACAATACTACTGCGCCAATCCAGCCAGTAGTGTCATCTGTGTCTACAAGCGCGAACATTTTAGAGGTAGTTGCCTCCCCACCCCCCATCCAAACTGCTGTAAACCCAGTTGGTTTACATGTGGAAACCGCAACTACTAATGAGACTAAATCATCAGAACCCCAACCGGGAAATAAAACTATCACTAAATTAGTACTAACTAATTCTACCGGCAAGACCTCAGTTTTGCAATCAGTGGTTAATGTCAACAGTCCACTAATCACTGTTCTTAACTCATCCGGGCCACTCACAGTGGTAAAATGCGTATGTGTCACATCTGTAGTGTCCAGTGCACCTCATTACACACTAGTAAATTCTGCTGCTTCTATAAATCCCACAAATGCAGCGGGGAAGCCACCTACCATCACCGTTTTGAACCGTGGACCCTTGACTAGTCCATTGAAAGGTGTAAAGAATGTAAATACTCAGCAAGGGACTGAAAAATTGTCTCTAGATATCCATCCTATTGCATCAAGTAATGTACAAACTTCACCAGGTTCAATTGAAAACAGAGGACAAAACGTTTTAATTAAAAATACACACTCAGACTCGAGCATTTCTGATACTATTCAACAGGCTCCTAAGTTGCCCACAGTAACCAGCCTTTCACCGAGTAATGTAAGTGTGGATTTATGATATTTTTATAACATATTATATTTTTAATGAAATTTTTCAGGTTCTGACCAACACTGCTACAATTGGGAAGCCTAACACTGCAAATGGACAAAAAAACAAGGTGAAAATATTCAGTAATATTCAAATAGCAAATGAAGGTGCAGCTCAGACAAATTTTCAATCAAATAAACCTCCCAATGTGCCACTACCAAGGTACAATATTGCATCACGACAAAAATTGGTTTCAGTAGATGATGCTTCTCACAAATATTCCAAACCATCCAATGTTCTAAAACCAATAGTAACACCCACAATTAAATCACCTCAAGATAAGCCAGCGAGGTTGTTACAACCGCCAATACACAGAGGTATAATAAAAAGCATACCAGGAAGTCAGAGTTTCATACAGAAACCACAACAACATGGAATTAAAATATTGTCGCCTCTACAGAGAAGTGTTGCAAATTTCCATTCAAATATAGCACCGAGCACAATACCAGCTCAAAGGACACAAAAGGTACAAACAAGACCTAATTATATCGGAAAACATGCTGTACAAGCTCTAAAACTAAAACATCTGCCTGGAAAATTGAAAGCGCCTCTAAGGCCAGCACCCAGTATGTTTGGGAACTATCATATGCCACCCATACAACCTGAAAAACAGTTGACATTTAATCAGGCTTTAACTGCTCAGATCATTGAAACTTTAAGTAATAGCAGCAGCAGCAGCTCTCCACCAGTTTCCAATAAATATGAAGTAAGCCCAGCAAGATATGACAGTGCTTTTAACTGTCCAGATAAACAGGTTGCGGGAACACCAAAAACTGAAGCGGAGGCGGTGGGGCCAACTCTTTCTCCACTCTATCTATGTAAAGTTGTTCTTTTGGATCACAATTACTATGCTAGTTTGCCCTCGAGTTTGCCTGACCCTGACCTTGACACCCAAGATACACAGGCTCAAGCTAATGGCATTCCTCCATCAAGTTTCTATAACACATCACCACCAAATAAGAGACGATTTATCATGCCACCTACAAGTGCTCTGCCTACGGCGAGCATTTCTACTGTAACCACAAGTCACCCGACCATATCTTTTCCTGAAGATGTGAGTCAGAGTAATGATGATGATAATTTTTCCGATGTTTCTGACATGTCAGATGGGAAACGTGACACAGAAGATGGTGAAGAAGGTGAAGAAACTGACACAGCTCCTGAGTCGGAAGATGTGAAAAATGACGAGCATTATGGGGATTATGTGACAAGGTGTATTTGGTAAGCATTTTTTGTATATTTATTGGTATTTTAAAATAATTGAGCTTGAGGATGGGAATCATGTTGGAAGGCGCAGAAATCGAGCTGCAACATTAGCATATTCAATGGGCAAAAGTTTTTTCTTGCTATTATTGCTATTTTGTTAGACCACTTTCTCCCAAATGCAGATGGAAGCTGGCAAAATGATACTTCATATATTTTTTTAGTCTATTCATTGAAAATATGGTGTGGGGTGTAACCCAATATTTAGTTATTATACGAAAAAGTTGCCAAATATTCAAATTTTGCCAAATTGCTATTTGTTACATCATAAGTAAAAAGTACTCCTCATTTACAGGAAAGTAACGTTACAAGAAAAATATTGTATAATTAATTAATCCATATACATACCATTATCAATTTTGCCATTTTTTATACACCAAAATAGGAGATGTGAATGACCAAACTTGAACAATGCAATGGGTATACACATTAAAAGAAATAATGCAATAGTATCTACTTTTTTTTTGATAAAGGGGTAGAGATAGCGACTTTTGACATTTTGCTGAGAACATGAAAATGACACTGCAGGCCTCAGAAACTCAGCTTGTTGGAAATATTTTGGTTCATATTGATATGTCCTAAAAAATGGCACCTATTTAGTATAGCTTATGCTCAAAATCAGTTTTTTTTACATACATAATATTTTCCAAAAGCAGCTTATTTATCAATGTGACTCATATTATATAACTTTTTCAGCCGTTTTGTGCATGACGATGGTTACATGGTGGAATGTGACAAATGTAAAGTTTGGCAGCATGTTCAATGTGTCGTTAAAAATCGTCAAATCCCTGATGAGTATCTGTGTGAACTTTGCGATCCTTCAAAGCCTGTGGATCGCCAAAAAGCACGTTCACTTCAGGAGCAATGGATTCGTGAGAGGCAGCCTGTTGAAACAAAAATTCGTAAAGAAGCCAAGCTCAAAGAAAATTTGAGGCAGAAAGAAAGTAGTGATTCTTCAGATTCTTCTGATGATGAAAGGATGGTGCGCAATAATAATATTATTGCCAAGAACCGCACAGCTCCACGAGTTCGAAGAAGGTCTGAAAGTTCTAAGGTGAACAAGAAAGAAGGAAAAGAACCTGTACAAAGGCGACAGAAGCGCAAAGAAAAGAAAATTATTAAGAGAAAATTCAAATTTCCAAAACCAACTCAATTTGCCAGTGATGATGAAACCCCTGAAACGTGGACTGCTCATTTGCCCCAGCTAAGGCAGTGGATTGAAAAATATGAAGAAGCTGTGACAAATCATTATTCTCCAGAATTGAGAGCTCGCATATCAAGCATAAGAGTTAATGGAGCAACTGCTGCTGATTCTACCATTACTTATGAGGAAAATGTCTTTAATTGTCGCATCCATACACAGCCTCTCACAGAAATTAAATATTTGGTCAGTACAGTGCAGCTAGAACCTAGTACTCCTGTCATTGAACTGCGAGGAAAATATATGCTTTCAACACAACACCGAAATGCAGGAGGATCCCTCACAACAAGGCAGCACAGTCAAAGACCAGGACCGTTCCTATTTTTTTATAGGCTTCAGAAAGACAATACTGAAGTTTGTGTCGACACAAGGACATATGGGAATAGCGCAAGGTTTATAAGGCGCTCTTGCAAACCAAACGCGGAATTACAGCATTGTATAGATAAAGGAGTATTGCACTTGTATATAGTAACTATTGCTCCCGTCCCAAAAAATTGCGAGCTGACTTTGAAACATGAATCTCACGATTTGGCCTCTATTGGTACAACACAGATAGCATGCGCTTGTGGCCGCCCTGATGAATGTACAGTTAATGAAACTTCAATTAAGAATAATGGGGAATCACCAGAAGTGCCGAAGAAAAAACGAGGAAGACGGGCGAATGCTTCAAATATTCCTGCTCCAGTACTCAAAACTGCTATAAAAGAAACCCCAAAACCAGATGAACCAGGTAAAGTATTTTGTAACTTTTAGGTTCTACAAACTAACTAAAACGAAACTATTTTTTTTTTAGAAGTTTTATCGTCTGTTATATAGTTTAGAGTGTGTTGAGTTTTAGTGGCATGCAGATGTTTCAATTAAAATTGATGAATTTTTTTTTTGCCTTGTCTAGGATTTGAACCCAGAACCCTCGCATATCCAGTACAACGCTCTATCAACTGAGCTACCAAGACCTGTTTCATTTCTACCTTGTCGGTCAAGTCTTTCATCAATTTTAAGTTGTTGGTTGTGACCAACGGCAACCTTCGGCGGTTACTGTTGGTGAGTTAGAAGGTATAAGGGTAACACATTCGCAATTAATGGCTGTTTTGGAAGCGATTATGCCTTCAACCATGGATGCGTCGTCGACATATTATAGCGACATCAACAAGCATTAGGATGGGACGCTCAACCATTAATATCAAGCCAATAATTTTTTACATTTTTTTTTTAGAAGGTTTATCATCTGTCATATAATTTAGCGTTGCACTGGATATGCGAAAGTCCTGGATTCAAATCCTTGTTGAGGCAAGAAATTTTTCATTAATTTTCATTGAAACTTCTGCATGCCACTAAAATTCAACACATGGATACATAAGTCCCGGATAAGGTTAACACTAAAGCGTCTATATTATTAACTCTTGTTTTTTGAATATCAGCAGTTTTTATCGCTTATATATTTTTTTCAAATAGGGAATTAGCAGTCATTACAACATGTATGTATAAATAAATAAACAACACAATTTAAACACAGAAACACAATTTGTGGCCACTTTTTTGATTTTTTCCCACTTAAGTTAAAAACAAACTCTCGATTACATTGTTTAATGGATAATTTGTTTTTTGCAAAGTGGCAAATTTGCTTATGTACACTTTTTTTGTAGAAGCTTCGATCCCACAGCTACCTACCGACAAAGTTACATTTGTGGCTGAAGTTTTAGAAGAGATTGACCTATATCAATTCAAGGAGGAAGTCAAGACAGAAGTCAAGGAAGACATCAAGGCAGAAGAGAAGGTAGAAGGTGACGTAGAATCTAAAGAAAACGTGAAAGAATCTTGTGACGAAATCGAGCTACCAGAGTGTAAAGTTGAAATAAAAGAAGAACTACTAGAACCTCCTGAAGACATGAAGCCAGAGGCTGATGTAAAAATAAAAGCTGAGCCTCAGGAGGAACTTTCTGAAGTTGAAGAAGAAAAACAGAGATCTCCCTCTCCTCTGCCGCCACCAAAACCACCATTACAAAATAAAGCTGAAGGAAAAAAGGAGAAGGAAAATATTGAAGGTAAAAAGGAGAAGGAAAAAGAAAAAAGGGAAACCAAAAAGGAGAAGGAGAAAGTTGAAGGCAGAAAGGAGAAGGACAAAAGGGAGAAGGAGAAAATTGAGGCAAAAAAGGAGAAGGAAAAAACTGAGTTGAAAAAGGAGAAGCAGAAGATGGAACATAAAAGGGAAAAAGAAAAGCGTCCTAAAGAGGAGAAGGTTAAGAAACCATCTTCTACGCAAGTTTCTACAAGAAGAACTTCCCATCATAAACCTGAGAAAGAAGAGAGCAAAGAGCCAGAGAAAAAACAAACTCTGCCAAAATCAAAAAAGTTGAGTAGAGAAGAAAGAAAGTTGGAAGCCATACTAAAAGCCATAGAGCAAATGGAAAAGGCCGACCAAAAGAAGCAAGAACACCAGGCTAAGCAGGCTCATAGACGAGAATCTGAACCTGGTCCTGGAAAGGATGAAGAAAAGCCAGAAAAGGTCATAAGGCGCAGAAGAAGAGGCAGGGCTAGAACCACAAGTACAAACGCGCAAACCAGACGAACCCGACTAAATTCGTCAGAATCTTACATGACATCAGGGGATGAAAATCTTTTGTCTCCAAATGAAGCTGCATCACCGGTAAAACCTCCCAAAGACGAAAATAGCGACGGCAAGGTAGCCGGGCTTCTATTGGCTATTTCTTCCAATGGAGATTCTGATAATAAGAAGGATATAAAATCGTCACCGGCGGGTGATCACAGTTCCAGCTCTAGTTCTGCACATTCATCACCTGAGACTCCCCAACTGTCTTCAGCTTGTTTACTGGTTCAAGCAGCCGTCGAACCTTTGGAATCAGGCTTCAAGTTTCCAAAAACCAAAAAAGGGTAAGGTTTTTTTATATTATTTTTTTTTACACAAGCAAATTCGGATTATTGTTTTTAATTCGAGTACAATCCAATGTTCATAATCTCATTATATTTTTTAAAAGAAGTTTCTGAAAAATTCTAGCTGAACTGACCATCGGAACTTCTGATTCTCCAGTTTAGCTCAATTTCAATAGTCATTTCCATTTGTCGCACTAGGTTGTATCTGGTTATGTTCAATTTAAATGCGCCATTTTCACTCAAATAACAACAAGTAGCTGGTTGCAAGTAGCTACTCAGAATAGACTTGATATTCTGTGACAATAGTAGAAAAACAATAATTATTCCCCCCTTTATACTAATTCTATTTAAATTTATTAGACAATATACACATACACCCAACTCTATTATTTACTGTAGTTTGAAATGCATTGAAATTATTTATTTCAGATTAATGAATGAGTGGTTAAATAAAACACCAGATCCAGTTCAGCTGGCCAGTACTATGTCCCCAGTATCTCTAGTTCCTCAGTCGCAACAGCAAGGTGAAGAAACTTGTGTCACCAACAAGAATTCAAGTGCTCCGGCGGCAAGTTCAGGTGAACCGCATCCACAGCAGCATGGTGGAAACGCTAAAAAACGTTGGTTAAGACAAGCTATTAGCGAGGATCAAACTCATGATGATGCTTCAGGAATGTGTCGCCCAGGTACTATTCTCTTTGTCCTATTTATTTTCCACAAATCTTAGTTTTATCTAGGATGGGTTACTCAAGTAGTCCTAACTAAAATATGAACATAACACCTTTTGACAATTTTGTTGTGCAAATTAGATAAAAACAGATTCTAAGTCACAGTCAAAATATGCTTTATTACTGTGAACAAAAGTCGTTATAAACAATGCTTACCTATACGTAATATGTAGTTACAATATCCAATAATTCAACAGAATATAAAAACATAAAATATTGGGTATAGAAAATATTATTTATTTATTTTTTCCTGTGCTAATTAAATTAGTTATTGTATGTATTTAATTAACATTATAACATTACTAAAGTTTATTGCTGAAAAATTCCGTAAGGCAAAATTGTAACAAATAGACAACTAAAATAATAGAAGTTCCGTTTTGGGAAAGATTGTTGGCGACATTTCTAACGTTTCATTTCTACGGAGAAAAAATCTATTCTCTTCTAATAGATGTTTGTCTCTCATAATAAGTATCACTTTAGAACTGTTTTCTCATTTCTTTAGCCAGTAAACAAATGAAAAATTACTTGAAAATCTCAAGGTTAAAAAGAACTTCAAATTAATTTTTTTGACATCTTAGTTTTATCGCCAGGTTTTTAATTAATAAATAATCTTTTGCAAGCTACCACCTCAAGTTCTTCAAAAATATTCACACTTGTTATTTGTTTTAGAGTCCCCAACCATTTGCGATGCGGTAGCACCTCCGAAGAAGCGCAAACTTCCTAGAGAATCTTTGTCCAACTCTCCCCCGACTACACCAACCAGGACCGGCTCGACAAAAGTAAGTTCTGGCCTCAGTCATGAATTTGATACAAATGAAAGTGAAAAGAAACACTCAAGTTGAATCCCAAACTTTGGTGTATGTCTAGTTTTCTTACCAAATTATATTTAATACATAAAACAATACAAACTTCTAAATAAATTTATTACATAATGAACAATCTTATGAAAGCTAAAAAAAATTCAACAAGAATAGGACATACACGAAAACGACTCTTGTACCAAGGAATTATTTAGCGATAGGATTTTTATTTATTTATATGATTTCAAGATTTTATAATTAGTACCCCTTTGTACTGATTCAGCTCTGATTCCACTCATCATGGGTATTATCAATTTTTAATTAATTGTTATTGAAACTTAACATGCTGCTTTATCAGAGGTACAAAAATTAACTGAAATAATTGAAATAATGACATGGTCTTTTGATGAAGCTACATGCTAGTAAAACTTTTCAAGTTTCAATAACAAAGTTGTGGAAATATAAATTTATTACTTTTGAATCTTCAAGTAAATATTATTCCTTTTTCCTCTACAACATTATACAAATCTTGATATCCTGGCTTAACAGTTAGTCTGGTTGCTGCAAGTTCCAAGTCAATTTTTCAAAAACTTAAGCTGGCAGCACCTTGAGAGCCTATAAGAGTGATAAAATACTATTTGAGCGCAAAATCTTGCCCCACCTTTTCTCAACTACGACTTGTAGGATGAGGGTAAATCGTATATAGGTAAAGTTTCCAGATTTTGCCCCTAACAATCCCAGTGGCTTACTAAGTGCTGTCAGCTTGGCTGTGTTTGCTAAAAGTTATCAGCATATTACTGGATCTGTATTAATTTGCCTTGTAGGAGGGCTTAGGTGCAAGGTCGAGTCTCATATGAGCCTCAATCTTCCGCACTATTCTGAATTCTGCGAGAATAATCATTATTTTCTATAATAAATTATAGAAATCTAATAAGAATTTTGCAGAATTTTGAATGCACAGAAAGTTAAACAATCCGATAGAGGGCCAGAACTCAGGGCAATTAGACTCGGCTAGGGACATTAGAGTAGGCCAAATTATTTATAAAGAAATGGTAAGTTCTAAAATAGGGAACATTGAAGAACATTTCTCATTATTTTGTAGTGTTTCAAGGATGTTCAACCTTTATTCAATTTCATTTGTATCACGTAATGTAGCAAAAATTTCTAATCAAATAATTCTGGGTTAATTTAGTAATAAATGATTCTAGCATATTTTATTTATTACAAGTGCTCTTACCTAAGCCTAATAATTTTTTTCAGTGTGTAGACACACCAAGAATATGTCAAGAAGGTTCTGTTGAGATTGTAAGTGGTATCGAAGAGGACGATAGTCCCTCTCACATGATGGAATCCGACGCAGAACTAAAAGAAAGAGCTGACAAAATGAAGCTGGAATTCGGTAATACCATGACTCTAGTGACTCCTGAAACACCTCCTCCTGTAACATCCCCTCCTGTGGCATCCAATACTTTCAGTGGAATATTATCAGATCCAAGATTGTGTGGAGGAGCTCCTAAGTTTTTAGAGAAGAAACATCCAGGATTGTTTGGTGGATGTTCTAAATTTTCGGAGGGTGAACATTTGGTTGGCCCTGTAAGGAAAACCCTTACTCGTTTGGGGATTGAAAGTTCTAAGCCGCACATTAGCCTGCCCGTCAAGAGGAAGGTAAAGGTAATTATCTAAATAGTTATTATTATCGAAATATGAATTTAACTCATTACTTAACCGTAGTTGTCTATAAGTGAGTATCTTCAGAGAAAGAAGGTAACCCCAACAGACAAATCAGACGATCAAGATGACAAGAACGATTCCCCATCTCCAGAGAAATACGAAAACAATTCTTGCGACTCATTCAAAAACGAAACCAAAACTCGATCAAGGAGCTCAAGCACTAGTTCAATTTCCAGTACAGATGAAGTATTGAAACCTGATGCAATGACAAGGGGTAAGTGGATATAGGACAAATTATTGTTTTTTATTGGTAAAAGTTTGTCAAATTTTCCACCACATCTACACACACATATCTAGCCAGAAACTATGATTCAGTTCCAGTGGCAAAGAACAAGCATCACTTGAAATCTCCCACTGAAATTTTGGCAACCTCTATGGCTACTCTGCCCTGAAATGTGACATTAATTTATTAATTTATTTACAGCTCCAGTTTTTAACTCAGAACCAACCGAACTGGAAAGACAAAGAGAAACTTGCAGTTTTAGGTTGAAGAAAGTTTTTGGGTTTAACATTGATGAAGAATCTCGGAAGCAACCAGGTAAAAGAAAAATAGTTTAAGTGAAATTAATATTTAATTTTAAAAAAATGTAATTTTCAGTAATAGATATGGCTTCTATCATCAAATGCGATAGCGACCCAAAGCCTAAATCAGCGTTTTCGCACACAATTGCTTCTATCCTGGAGTCATCTATGTCCCCCAAGTCAAAAGCGCCAGCAGAAGCAGCTCGTAGGGTTGCTAGCCCGCCTATTTTGACTTCATCAGTAATGGCTTTAATGTTGAAAAAATGTGATGAAGAAATCGCGGAAAGATTAAAGGAGCGTAACAAGCAACTAAGTCAGGCAAATGAAAGGGAGGAGGAAAAGATGGATGTTGATATGCCAACAAAAGAATTATTTAAAAGAGAAACAGTAATTGCAGGAATGAATGAAGATATTGTAACAAACAAACGTGACGGCGAGAAAGGAGAGGAACAAAATGTGTTTTATACGCCGGATGAATATGAGGATCGTGAGGCGATGGCTTGTGGCAAGCTGGAAAACCCAAATTTTGTACCTCCATTCACCAGTCCGGTATGTCGCAGCACTTCAGCGATTGATAAACGTAAGTTATTTTTAGAAATTTTTTTTCCAGGCTTTTTTGTTAAATTTGCAGTGGAAGCTTTTTGAATATATAAATGAAAACAAGAGGTGAATATTCTTGCTGACGCCATTACACAGTGTGAAATTTCTATCTACATTTTCGAACGCCTACTTATTTATGCTAGTTTGAAATAGAGGATGGCAGCGTGAGTGCACTATTCACTGCTCTGTGTTTCATTTTTATAATGAAATGCGTAACTTAATAGATAAAAACTAAAATGATCTCAACTACCTATGTCGGGTGTGGAATTATTATCTAGAACTGTCTTTCGTCGTTTTTTAATACCATTTCATATGGTCCAGTGTGAGAAATTATATTGGATGTCATGTTTTACTGTGATAAAGATTCGCATGTTATCTTTTTTCTTTACACTTTATATACATGTAGGCTTTTTCCTATGTTGTCTAGGGTGTATGTAATGGGGTGAAATAAAAGGTCATCTGGTGGATTTGTGTGAGTAAAGGACCAGCCCTCAGTCCACATGCTCGTCTTCAGAAATTGGCAAAAGGGTGAGCCCACGTTTTCGTCTTGACGTCTTTAGTACGGGGTGACACGGTGACACTCCCACAACACATTTGCAATAATTGTGTACGTCTTCCGTCTTTATCGCATTTCTTTACATCACTTCTGACTAGACTTTTTGACTAATGAATGACAAATTAATGACTGATTTAATAGAATGAACACCCGCCATACTAGTACTCTCTAGTACACATACTAGCCAACTTTACACTTTTTCGCGCATGCACATGCCATTGCAGATGCGTTCACTTTCTAGAAAATGCACCATAATAATATTGACACCGACACTCGCCATCTGACTAAGTGTCCGACTGGGACTCAGTATATGACTGAATCCACGGTCTCTGAATTCAGAACACTTTGATGTTTTATTAGGTCCTTCATGAATTCCAACCTTTATCACATCGTATCGCTCATTTTCTTTCGCTCTAGTTACCTCATATGGTCTAAAAAACTTTCGGTTCACATTAAGTCCTGAACCAAATTGCGTTCGTTTGATTGCAACTTGATCTTTCTCTTTATACAGCTCAGCTTTCTTTCTCCTCAGATTATATCCCTTCCTGTTTTCTTCTTGAATTTTTACCAATTGCTCCCTACATTTCTTCCTTTCTAGCTTCTTCTATTAGATCACTTATGAAAATGTCTTCTTTCTTTTTCATTTTGACGCCCATAAGAACTTCAAATGGAGTTGTATTAATACTTTGTTGGTATGTCGAATTTAACGCCCTTTATACTCTATCGACATGCCTGTACCATTTAGTTGGATCTTCCAGGCACAACTTTGTGAGGACTGGGATTACAATTAGGCGAATTCTCTCAATTTGTCCATTTCCTCCGGAAACTCTTCTTGTTATCGTTGCATGAATAATATTTTCCTCGACACAGTATTTGTTGAACTCTGCAGCTGTAAAGCAGTTCCCTTATCTGTCACAATACGACTAGAGTTTCCAAAATTTTTTTGTTGCTTAATGAGACAACTAACTGTTTTCCTTGCGGTCGTAGATTTTGTCGGATATACCAAGTAGATTTTGTAAAGTCCTCTATTATGGCTAATATATGTTGATAATTCTTGTTTGTTGATGGAATTGGCCCTAAATGGTGGGCGTGGTGCATGCATAGTGGACCTTCTTGTTTTGGGGTAGGATGCAGGAGTCCCTCTTGTTTCCCCTCCTTTCGGCTACCTAAAATACAGGGTACACAGTTGGCTATTGTAGTTCCAATTTTTTCTTTTAATTTAGAAATATAGAATTCGCCGCTAAGGTGAATAAAAAAAAAAAAAAAATGAAATGAATTCTTCTTTCTTCTTATTTCCAAAATGTCCCTCTTCATGTATTTTCCTAATTATTTCATTCTGCATTCCTTTTGGCACCACAACTTTTTGATCCTGATGTTTATACATATAATACTTCATGCTTTAAAAAATATTCTTTGTGCTCTTTGTTTAATTCCAAAATTTTCTTAACAGCTACTAGATGTCCGTCATTTTCCTGTGCTGTTTTTATCCTTTGTATAACAATCTGTCACTGTCCTAAATTTCGAACCCAGTAAGTAAACCCTAAATTTCTTGACAGCATTTATTATAGCCAGGACTTCCAACCCATAAGGTGAATATTTTTCTTCAGCCGGAGAAGTCTTTTTACTTAAAAAATACACGGAATGCAATTACAATCCTCTTTTGATTTCTGCAGTAAACAGGCTCCATATCCAAATTTGCTTGCATCTGTATGCAATTCGATTGGGAAATCTCTTTGGAAAATATGTAACACTGGACCATTGGTAAGTAACTCCTTCAACTTTTCGAATGCTTGCTTTTGTTTATCTCCCCATTTAATTGAATGGCACATTATTTTTTAGCAGGTCACTTAAAGGCTTTGCTACTATAGATAAAGGAATAAACTTTCTGAAAAATCCAGTCAATCCCACATATGATTGAAGCTGCTTTCCTGTAGTTGGTTTCCTAAAACGTTTGATAGCTGAGGTTTTCTCTTCCGACAGCTGTATTTTTCCAGCTTCTATTATGTAACACAAAAAGTTAACTCTCTTCTTTAAAAACTGAAATTTCTTGAACTTTATATCGAGTCAATAGTCTTCACACCATCTGTAGTCATTCTATTTCTTCTTCAATTGTATTGCTATAAATTACAATATTTTTCACTGTCATTGGTCTAAAAATATGGCTGATGAATCGCTGAAATACAGCTGGACTATTACACAGACGAAATGGGCACCTAAGAAATTCATACTGACTGCTAGGCGTAATGAAAAAAGTATATTTTACACTGTTTTCTTCGACGCTTACATGGAAGAACCCATTCTTTAAGTCAATTGTGGAAAACATTCTTGCATTTTCTAATTTGTCCAGCACATCTTCCATTAAGGATAACGGAAATCTATCTTTAATTATGTTTCTATTAACCTTTCTGTAATCACAGCAAATTCCTTCAGTACCATCCTTTTTACCTACTATTACTATGGGACTATCAAAATCAAAAGCGCTTTCCCTAATTATTCCCTCTTGTAGCCATTGTTCTATTTGTCTGTCCACTTCCAATCTTTCTACCATAGACAATCTCCGGGGTCTTTGATATATCGGCTCTTCATTCTTCAATATGATTTCATATGTTTGTCGGTAGTCTTATTCTTTTCGGGTTTATAGTTTCCAACCAAATTTGTTATTGTCTTCTATTTGTTCGTTATTTTTTATGTGCGTCAAGTCCACTTCTTTCATATTCTCATCAAATGTGATCTCCATTAAATAGCTCCTTCCTTCTTTTTTGGAAATCATGATACCGTCTTCGTTGATATAAACTTTTGCTTGCTGCAACAAATTATTTTCCACAATTGCTTTAAAGTTTCCTGCATCAATAGGTATCACGTAATATGAGATTTCAAATTTATCACCGCTTATTTCAACACTCTTCTTGAATGATCTTAACGTTATCACTCTGCTTTTGCCTTGAACCCTCACTATCATCTTGTCACTTGATAACACTTCATTCTTGAAATATTTATTATACACATCTTCCCGAACTGCACTAATATCACTTCCCGTATCGAACAACGCAACAATTTTCACTTCAACAAATGACAGTGTCACTGAGTTTTTTGGAATAACATCGATAACAGCAATATTGCTTGATGACGCCGTTCCATTGCGGCACTGAGCAGCTAAGTGTCCAAAACCGTTACACTTGAAACACTTTGCTCCCTTGTTCTTATCTGGGCAGTCTTGCAACAGGTGTCCTTGAGCACCACATTTGAAACAATGTCCACATATAATTTCAACTTTTCTTTGAACTCACAAAAGTTTTGGCCCCATATAGCACAGTTTATGATTTTTTCGCAAATATTAATTTTTGCAAATTAGGTACTCCATCCTGTAATATTTGCAATTTCCTTGAAATCCATTTGTTTTTTTTGGTAATCTTGTTTTCCATTAAAAGGTCTTATGCTATCTTCCACGTCTCTGAAAGTCAAAGCGGAGGAACCACTTTTTCTTTTCTGATTTCTTATTTGTGCCAAACGTATGTCATCATCTGCTTTCTACGATTTATTAATTCATCCGGATTTCCAGTAGGATCTTAATTTAAAACATGACACACTGCAATCACATCATTTAAATGCAAATTATTTTTTAATCTATTCACTTTTTCATTATATTCTGCGGAACCTATTTCTAGACCAAACCCGGTGAACTTATGCAAACTTTTTCCTACCTTCCCTACCAAAAGCAATGGCATGCAGCGCTTGAATCGTTTTTAATTTGGCGTTTGTTAAATTTTGCTCGACTTTATCGATACTACCCAAATTAGCCATTCTTCTCTTTTAGTCAAAATCAAATAACTTCTAAATAATTCAAAGAGAAGAAAAACGATAAAGTCCAGAAAACGTTTCAGCATTTACGGTTTTGACGTTACGGCACCCTTCACCTTTTTTTAAATAATATCTACTTGAAACAATAAACGAATATACATGACAAAGCCAAGACACCCCTTTACAAAGTTGGTAAAAATCTAATAAACAATTTAAGAAAGCCCTAAATCAACAGTACCTATCTACAACAATACAATACAGCATTCTGTGAATTTTCCAACTCACAGAAATCAACACAAAGTTCAATAGTACATTAAAATAAAAGTTTCATAAGACGTCATTTTATCGCACGAGCCCTATACTAGAAAACGAGCCGGAGGCGAGTTTTCTAAAGGGCGAATTTAAAAAAAGCAAATTTTTCTTGGAAATTTTATTCTCATATTTCCTGATTTCATAGTTTAGGTTGGTAACACTACATGCCAAATATAGAAATCTTCTATTATAAAATCGCGAATGACAGTTCGATGGGCATCAGTCAGCCAGTGTTACCAACCTCCGATAAGTAAAAAAGAAGTGTCACAAAGAGCTTCTTTTCGAAACTACTTTTAGTGTCGAAAAGACTTCGATATGACACCAAAATAGAAAAATTAAATTATTAAAGTATTAAACAATTTAGAAAACAAAGCTTTTTTTTAAACTACTTTCCTTTGCCTTATGGAGAAGGAAACGATACAAAACACAATATTTACAATTCACTATCCAGAACGTCCCAGCAGTCTCCTGGAATTGAAGTAGAACCAACAACGAAATTTAATAATTTTTATACATGCCTCCTGCCTTAATCAGCAGCTTACATTCAAATTCCGAACACGGCCAGGTACCTGTCAGCGACCATATGGCAAGTGGCAACAACAACGCTTTGACACTTCACACTTTCGACGCCTTTCTCTCTAGTCTGCTGGTAATAGCCTCGCATGCAGGATCCACTTCTGGTACAGAGACGCTGAGGCAAAACAATTTAAATAGGGCCGACTAGTCTCACATCAAGGACTTCAGGATGCTTTGACACAAGTTCAGCCATTTTGTAAACTGCACTTTGCACGTGCACATGGATTCTATGGATTGCTGAAAATGACACTTTTCATAATTTTATTTTTTTCTGATCCCAATCCGCAATCTTCAAGCCCCAATTTTCAATCCCCAATCTTCAATGCTCTATCCCGGACAGGCCCCCAAAAAGTAGGCTTTTTCTTATGTTGTCTAGGGTGTATGTAATGGGGTGAAATAAAAGGTCCTCCGGTGAATTTGTGTGAGTAAGGGACAAGCCCTCAGTCCACGTCCTCGTCTTCAGAAATTGGCAAAAGTGTAACCCCAGTCTTCGTCTTCACGTCTTTGGGACGGGGTGACACGGCTCTTCACTCCCACAACACAATTGCAATAATTGTGTACGTCTTCCGTCTTTATCGCCTTTCCACACCACTTCTGACTAGATTTCTTGACTAATGAATAACAAATTAATGACTGATTTAATAGAATGAACACCCGCCATACTAGTGCTCTCTAGTACACAAACTCGCCAACTTTACGCCTTTTGGCGCATGCACCTGCCATTGCTCTTTTTAAAGGGACCTGCCTCTGGCAAATTGTCAGAGATGTGTTCACTTTCTAGAATCTAGAAAATGCACCATAATAATATTGACACCTACATATAAACTGCTGGACAAATGAAGCGGAACAAGCCAATTTTTTATTTAACTCTGGATTCCAATATTACGCGAACTGAAGAAGTTATCAATGAGTGATTTGCGTAATTCAGAAGTTAATTTTCGCAAACCGCTCATTGATATTATTTTCAGTTCGCGTAATATTGGAATTTGAAGTTAACCTAAAAATTCGCTTGTTCCGTTTCATTTGTCCAGCAGTTTATACCAGGTGTCCCACTAAGGTCGGCCAGGTACAATATTATGGAAACCTTACGGCTTCGGGATTTTTTTTTTTCTTCACTAAATCGGCCAAGAGAAATTGATGGAAATTATTTTCAAGTTTCTAGGATGACCGCTAGGGGGCGCAATTACGATGATATAGCTAAAAATTCAACTTTTCTCAAGAAATCGCTATATTAAGATACTGTTTTAACAACAGAAATCAAAAGTTCATTAATTTTTGCGCCAGTTTGGTTATTAGGCTTTTTTTCGTATCTTCAGTAATAAGGGTGGGGGAAGCTGGTGAAATTTTTTTTTTAGAAATTGCTGTATCTTCCATACCTCTCATTCAAACTCATTCAATTTGGGTTTATTTGAAAGAGAATTTCATTGTTATTAAGAAAACCACTTTGTTCGAGGTCGATAATTCCCACCGCGTCTTCTAGAGGGCGCTGTTTTTTCAAGATCCAGTTTTTTCTAATTTTCATGGAAAATCCAAATGGCATAATATTATTTTTGTATTGCTGTGCTTAAAGAGCAAAAAAATATCTACATTTTGGCGCAAACCGCAATTCAATATCTACATTCGTTTTCAAGTTACGTAAGGTCTATGGTCTCCATAATATCGTACCTGGCTGACCTTAGTGGGACACCCTGTATACAGCTGCTTCAACTTTTGTTAAATTTATTGAATTTTTCTTGATATTTATTTGTTTACTATTGCATTAGACAAATAATTAAATAATAAAATAAAATTTAAAATGATTTTAGGCCAAATGAACAGCATCTTTAATTCTTAAAGCAGGAAATTAAAAACGTTGCTTTCTTTCAGACGATGATTCTCGTTATCAAAGCCGCAACCCATCTCCGCCACCCAATTTAGAGGCAACTACATTTGAGAACTCTTAATAAAATTGGAATTCATTTTGAGTGCAATCACCAATATAAGTTATTATCCCTAGTTTAGCATGTTTTATATACTTATTAAGCATACAACTAAAAATTTGTTTATTATTGTATTGTGTTTTTAAAGATTTATATTTTGATTAGTACTAAGGTCTTATTAAGGTATTTGGAACATTAGGTACAGTGTCCTTATAATTAGTGCGGCTTCTACAGCCTAAACAAAAAATAAAATAAAATACAAAAGTTGTGGAATTTAAATGTCAAAATGGGCAAATGACAGGTGCCAACTGTCATTATAACAAACACTTGCATTTTTTCAAATGGAACATTCTGTATATTTTTGGTTAGAATGATAGTTTTTTTTCTTCTGATTCCAAATATACCATATATATTGATATTTAGTTCAGCTATTTTTGCACTATTTAAATTTAAAAATGCATTTACATTACCTCAAATTAGGTCTGTTCCCGGTTCCTTATATCAATGGTGAGGCGTAATGCAATTTTAGAATTAATAAATAGCGTGTTTGTCATTCTGACAGTTGGCACCTCTCATTTGCCTGTTTTGACATTTGCAAAAGATAATAGAGATAAAACCCTACAACTTTTGTATTTAACTTTTTTTCAATTTTTGTTTTTTCGTCTAAGCTGTAGAAGCCGCACTAATTATAAAGAGCAGACCCTGTACTTGTACCAGTGAAATTAACTTATTTATATTTTAATACTTTCGAGAATTATTTATTGAATTATGAAACTCTCAAAATTTCCAAGTAGTCTAAATAAATTGGTTGACATTATTGATGTAATATCTTTTTTGGATAAATCGATGTATAGATAAAAATGTACACATTGTGTATAGTTATGAATTGTTTTGTCTTCATGGGAAGATAGAATAACTTTTTCTTCTGTTAGCATTTTCGTGCAACTTGAAAAAATTGGCAAAAAAATAGAAATCTCATTCAAAAAGATTGTATGTACATAAAACAATGATTATTGTTTTGGTTTATAGTTTATTATTATCTGTGAAAACGCGTTTCTTGCACGTTAATGAAAATAAGTACAAAATTATTTAAGGGGTGATCTCGCATTTTAACAGTTAGATTTTTTTTTAGGTCATAATTTTTTTTTTATTGTTTTAGCTTCCGAAATAACGTCAAAGAATATTTCGTTTATTAATGTGTAAATTAGACAAGTACTAGTTTTACTTAATTAATGGCGACATTTGTTTTGACGCTGGTTTTTCATAGGATGACTGCAACATTTCTGATATACATTATTGTTAAATTCTTTTTTTTTTTATTTTACATATTTTCTTATTACTTTATAAAATTCTGTTTATTCATACACTTTTTTTTTATTCTTTGACACATCGTAAATTTTTTTCGGGTGGAACTGAAATTTTTGTTATTCTGTTGTTAAGTTTTGTGATAAAAAAAGAAAAAAAAAAAAAAAAAAAAAAAATTCAGATTCAATTTTTGTTGAAATTATCATCAAAGACCAACATCAATAACTATATTTTTTGAAAATTTTACCAGAAACCGCGAAAATCACAAATTTATCTCAAATTAGAAAAACGATAGCTCATAATCATCAACTATATTATTAAATCAGCGATTCTGCCAGCCAAGGTGAATGAATCAATCAATGGGCGAATTACGAGTATAATAATACTATACTTTTCCTACTTTTATTGAATGGTTGCAAATTGACTTTATCTAAGTCTCGATTTACAAGTTATAAGACGCATGACTTTTCCACTGACCAGTAACTTTAGCAACACAACCAAAGCGCATATTATTCCATAGGAGTAGAAAGAAAGCTTTGAAACAGTGACGAAACGATTACGATTTATCAACTGTAATCACCGATCATCTCATACGATTATTTAAAAAAACAAATGCTATGCTTCCTTAATAAATAGCTTGACCATTATGCCAGTATTAATAATATCAAGTATTGATATTTATACATGAATAAATATCAACTAATACTGTTTCTTTTTTGTTTGTTTAAGAAATAGTTTTTTTTTATTCTCGTTCCTAATCTGTTTCAACTTTTTATCAATTTTTAAAGGAATTAAAGTTTATCAATCGAACATAATTCGTTTAATCACTACTTTAAAAGAGCATACAATTATGTTTGAAAAATTGTAGAGGATAAGAAGGTGCCATTTATTGTAGAACTTTGATTATACTCTACCATAAAGCTTTTGGAGCTAGAGCTATTTATTACACAGCAAATGTTTAACTACCATCAAAATAAATGTTGCTAAACTCCTAAGTAAAATTATTACTAAAAAATATCAATATAGGAAGTTAGTTTAGATCTTATTATTAGCTTGTATAATTTGTTTTGAATTTTGCGGTTATACTGTGTAGTAATTGACATAAAAAGGCATCACAAAAATGAGTTTTTTTGTATATAACACACTTATTTGTTGTACATACATAAAAATAAAGTCTATGTACTTTGATTTTTTTTTGTAATATTTTACATACAATAGTTGTTTACTTATGTTATATTTTTTCCATTTATATTTATTTTAAAGAAATTTTAAATTATTATTGTAATCCTATTTGGGTTGCAATAAGGATTGTTGTTATTTTCTAAAAATAAAATTGATTCGGATGAAAATATTTTATTATGCCGCTTGTACAAAATTTCTTAAAAAAATTTTCTAGAAAAATAACAAAAATTTTTTCGTACTGTCAGTATTATAAATTTATATATTATATAAATAATGGCGATAATAAAATAATTCATCCCGATGAAAATAGATAATATTTGTCAATGGAAATTTCAACGACATAAAATAACTATTTTAATATGTAACAAGGCTGTACATAAAACATTAATATTGATGTTGGTACGATTTGCGTACAATTATTAAAGTCTTTGAAAACTAATTGTGCCATTTTATTTCATATACATGTCTTCGACAAAAAGTGCTCAATAAAATAAAAGAACAGTTAGCTTTTAAAGAAATAACTGGTCATTAGAGAGTTATTGGAACTATGAAATACTGCCTCGCAGTATTAAGGATCTACGTTATTTTATTAGTGCATCAGCACTATTTTTCCAAGAAAAAAACAGTTATTGGAAGACTGTAGTAGGTGCTAGAGTATTACCTTATTTTGTATTCATAATTTTGACAGATGATAGCTATGTTTATTAATTTCAGCCTCAAAAAGTGTTTATTTTTGTTTGTGATTTTCTGCTGATACTCATTTTTTGATGTTACCCAAAGTAAAATGGAAAACTATTGTAAAAAATAAATTTTCTAAGTAAAATTACGTCATCGTCGAAAAGCAAAACGTCAAAGTCGTCCAAAACGTCAGAAATTTGAAATAAGGGAAGTTTACTGCCTCGCACTAACCATACACAAATAAAGACAAGCAGTAACCTTATTAAGGGAATCCTTATTTTCGGACCCAAATGCGCATGTGTAGATGTCAAAATAAGGCTAATTTAAATACTGCTTGTCCTTATTGCACGTCCAATAACTCTCTATTGTTCTTGGCTACATGAGAGATCACCTAGTGACTATAAAGTTGTTGGTTGAAGACACAAATATCACTGCTCTCTACAATCAATCAATATATTATTTGTAACATTTCCATTCAAAATATATGCCAGAAACAGTAATAAGTTTGGTTTGTACAATGGAAGATTGTACCTAGGTGAATGAGTATCTGTATGTGCAGAGTGCCACAAGTACATTTTTTTAATTTATTTATTTATTTATTAATACAGTATCACTATCAACAGCAAATCCCAATTACAGATACCAATCTTATGACTAGCAAACAATAATTATTTAAAATTTACAACCTTAAAACCCTTTCGAAAAACCAAAATTATACTATACAATATAACAATAAAACAAACTTGTCTACTCCTGAGCCTGGGAAATAAAAAGTTTCTCACTTATAATTTTAGTAAATTGTCCTAAAGTAATAGTGTTTATATTCATGTCACTTGCATCCATGCTAAAATCATTGCACATATGGAGAATTTTTATACAAATTTGTCCTAGGAAAGTCCAAATAAAGCATAATTTCTCTGTCAGGTGTAGACACGATTTATTGAAAATGGGAGCTGAGATAAAATGTGAGGACTATTTATATTATTATTTATAAGTTTATAAATTTAAATAAGGCATATTTTCATTCGCCTATTCTTGAGGGAGAGTCTATTGAACAAATTCAAAAGTCTATTATGGTTATATTCCAAAAAAACATACTTGAGGAACTTTCTCTGGACTCGTTCAATAGATTTGCACCATACCTACCTCATATAGGGGTGACCAGATTATGATGATGATGATGAAAATTACTTTATTGTCCAAGAAATATTACATGTAATAGGTCTTATTGACAAAGAATACTTAAAAACTAAATTAAAGTAAAAAAAAACAATAATGACCTACCTGTTACAAACAAACAGTCAATAAACACAAATAAAGAGAAAAAAAAACCTGACAATAAGACAAGCATTTTAAGTATGGCCAATAAAAAATAATAACAATCTACAATGTACAAAATGGTAAATACAAAATACAACATAATATAAAAATAACAATATATAGCCAGTTGACTATTGAGATTAAATATCACACTAAATTAGGATTGCTCAAAGAACTCGTCAATTGTTTAAAAAAAAAAAATTCAATAAGAATGCCTTACCAACATTATTGTATATTTTGAGGCCATTGTAGATGAAAGATATCTTAACCAGATTGAAGTGAGGTAGGGTAAAGGGATATTATCGTTTTGACAGGTTTGATGTACTTGCTGATGCCTTGGAAGGCTTTGCTTATTTTTATAAATTAAGCATGCTGTTTCCAGGATGAAAAGGGAGGGAAGAGCTAGAATGCCATTTTGGATGAAGTGTGTGTGGTACAGTGTGTTCTTAGATGGGCATTGCATAAATTCCGAACTGCTCGCTTTTGGAGAATAAAGACAGACTGAAAAAGATTTTGTGCACAGGCTCCCCAAAATGGTAATGCATATCTAATATGTGACTCGACAAGAGCAAAATAAACATTGCGTGCTACTTTTTTACCTCTAGTTCTTGGAAGGTAGATCTCACCGAAAAACAGCCAGAGGCCAACTTTTTATTTACTTTCAGAATGTGAGGATAAAATTTAAGATTTTCATCGATTATGAGTGTATATTTTGGTAGTAAAGTTGTGTATTCTCTCGTGACGCTGCTGACTAAGACTTTGAATTTATACGTTTTTTGGTACCATTGTCGGGTAGGATTGGTGAGGGTTGTTTTTGTGAATCATTGTAAGACGAGTGAATAGAGGAATAAGTCATATGTGCTTTG